ATTTTTTTTTCTTACCTGTCGTTTATCTCGCGACCTATCGCTGACGAATGGAACCAAAAAAAAAAAAAGATAGTCGGAAGAGGAGGAGGAGGACAGAAGAAGAAGAAGAAGAAGAAGAAGAAGAAGAAGAAGAAGATGGGCGGAAGAGGAGGAGGAGGAGAGAAGAAGAAGAAGAAGAAGAAGAAGAAGAAGAAGATGGGCGGAAGAGGAGGAGGAGGAGAGGAGGAAGCAGAAGAAGATGAGGGGAGGCGGGGGAGGAGAGAAGAAGAAGAAGATAGTCGGCCGTGGAGAAGTTTTCTTTTTTTTTCCCTTACCTGTCGTTTATCTCGCGACCTATCGCTGATGAATGGAACGGAACAAAAAGAAAAAGAAGATAGTCGGAAGACGAGGAGGAGGAGAGAAGAGGAAGGAGAAGAAGATGAGGGGGAGGGGGGGGAGGAGAGAAGAAGAAGAAGAAGAAGAAGGGATCAGTTTTCTTTTTTTTTTTTCTTACCTGTCGTTTATCTCGCGACCTATCGATGACGAATGGAACAAAAAAAAAACAAAAAGAAGATAGTCGGAAGAGGAGGAGGAGGAGAGAGGAAGAAGAAGAAGAAGAGGAAGAAGAAGAAGAAGATGATGACGATGATGATGAGAACGGGCGGCTCCACGGCGACGGGCGACGGGCGGCTCCACGGCGCTGGCGACTCCAAGACGCTGGCGACGGGCGACGGGCGGGTCCACGGCGACGGGGGAGTGAATCTCCCAGGCGATGGCGACCGGCGGCTGAACCACGAACTGCGCCGGCCGGGAAAGACCAAGGCCCTGTTTGGACAGCCGATGCAGGCCGCCGCGGCAGGCAGTCGGCTGTTCAAACGGGTCGCCGTTTTCCCTCCAAACATCAAACGGCCCTCTGGCCGTCGATCATGGATGATCGAAGGCCGGAGGGCCGTCACAATTTCAAAAAAAAAAGGGGGCCTCACGGGCCCGACTCGCCTTTTTTCAGGCCTGGTCGGACCCGGTAGGCCCTGGGGACCCCAGCTGACGGCGATTCGGGGTCTGAACCCCCCCCCCCCCGACAAGGTGTGCTGGGGGTGCCCGGCCCCCAACCGGGCCGCCTGCCCGGCCAGGCCGCCCGGGACCTCCCCCGGGCAGGCGCTGGTCGACCGGGCGGCCCGGATCCGTACTCAGGTTTTTCCTCTATACCAAACAACATGACCCATATGAAGATGAGCAGATCCAAAATGAAACGGCTTTACCTCGATAGCAAACAACATGAAGCACACTAAACTGTTCTCTCTCTTTTTGCAGGTCTCCTTTTACTGTGCCACTCATGTACAATGCTTGCCCATTGGTTGTGGTTGAGTGCAAGCTGCCTGCATCCGCGTGTGCCGTAACAGCACACTATGAAAGGAGGCAGAGTAAACAGGGAGGTGTACTCCTATTCATTATTTGACTACCTTCAGCTTATATTTTGTCTGTTCTCCGAATAATGCTCATTCATGTGCATTTAGCAGTGCTACACAAGGGGAAGGAGAACGGAAAGGGGAAGGGGGAAGAAACACGAGGGAGGGAGGAGGAGAACGGCAAGAGGAACGAAGCAGAGCGACAGCAAATAGAACAGGAAAGACGATCTTCAAAGGGTTCTCAGTACTCCCTGCCAGAGAAGACTACTATGGAATGGCACAAGAGGAGGCAGTGTTCAGGTTGCAGGCAAATTTGATTTGTCTATGGTAAGTGCCCACCCCTGCAGACCAGACAGGACTGGTTCAGGTGTGGACTGTGGAACCAGTGCTGCACCACATCCAATTCTTATAAAGGTGCAGTTGCTGAATCGAATGGAAATGTCAGAGGCTACATGGCTCCTACATTCTACGACACAGAGACATGTCAACCACCATTGTATACTATGTATAGGCATTGCCGTTTCAGCCCGTATAGAAATAGAACATACCATAGGTGTACATTATTACAATGTTGGCTGTCATTACAATGTTGGCTGTCATCATACATACAAGACAGAGTTGCATGGGTTCTACCTTCATAATCCTCCTGACACCAAGCATGCCAATCACATGCTAGACAAATCTTAGGTCAGTCATCACAGTGTGACACTGAGCAGAATTACAGTGCAAACGACTGACTTAGATGCGAAGCATTAGGGCCCTTGGCAAGGTTGGTCTGTGCCCGCTGGACACTGTCTGCGGCCACCCTAAGTGAAGGCGGGCCTTCCAGGAAATCAACCAGGCCTCCAAAAGAGGCCGAAGTGAGCATACAGGGGCCCGTGAGTTGGTTGCTGCACGCTGCATCTTCAACCAACCAGTAGGCCCAGTCGGTTGAAGATGCTGGGGCCAAGCAAAGATGCTGAGGCCCAGGGCACTCACAGTTGAGCCTCCAAAAGAGATCGAAGTGAGCATACAGGGCCCGCGGGTTGGTTGCTGCACACAGCACCTTCAACCAACCAGTAGGCCCAATCGGTTGAAGATGCTGGGGCCCAGCAAAGATGCTGAGGCCCAGAGCACTTACAGTTGAGCCTCAGTCACATTCTCGAAGGGCTCTCGGTGCAGCTACTGGGACACTGGCTGCCTATCCAGAGCCTGCCTCGTCCAGCCAGATACCAACAAAAGAAAATTAAGCAGCCTCACTTCTTACATTCTGGCTGGCTGCATGGCAGTAGTGCTGCTGGAGCGCTGACTTGCTGTACGAGAGTCGGGCAGAGTGGAAGAAGGGCGCTGGCGGGGCGCGAGGTAGAAGCTGCATGGGTGCAGCAGGAGGGCACAGCGGCCATAGCTGGGATGCTGCCCCCATAGCCAGAGGCAGCGAGGGACTGTGTGTGGGAAGACGAGGGGAGTGGTGATGTGAGAACGTGTAAACCTGGTAGTGATGAGCAGTCCACTTTGGTTGCAGTCTCCATTCGTCATTGGGCTGCTGTACTTCATGGAGACCTGTTGTAGACACTAGGTGGATAGGTGCTGTCTGATTGTAGTCTGGGCGCCGAGCGCCAAGTGGGAGAGCGACATTGTGGACATCGGTGTTGGAGGCCAGAAGAGGGCTTTCATTTGACATTGGTGCTTTGCTCTTGCTTATGTGTTATCTCGTTGTGCAATCAACTTTCAGTTCGAGGACAAAGTTATCTGCAATTTCGTTTTCTTGTCATCCACATTGCTCATTTTCCTTGCAAAGCTATGTTGCTCTCCTTATTCACCTTGCACTACCAACCTGCCACTACTCCTAAAGGCTGTACAGAAGTCGTTTGCATGCCTTACACGGGTCCAATGCAAACGACTTATGGCTGAAGGTCACGTCAGAATTGTTAACCGAACTCAAGATGAAAACAAATAACAGAACGAGACGAAGGCTTCCCCATCTAAACCTCTTCAGTCCCTCTAAAACGAGTCCGTACCCCATTTCCCCGGATTCGGGCTCCTCTGAGCATGTGTGGAAGACCCCTCCCCCCCCCCCCCCCCCCCCCCCCCCCCCCCCCCCCCCCCCCCCCCCCCCCCCCCGGCCTTACTCTTGTTGTCCATAATCATTCCTTTTCTGTAGAAAAACCTGATACACACACCCCAAAGCCACTCAAGGATTGGTTGAATCCAAAATAGAATGGAGTTTACCGCAACAATCCTGTCGAACCGACCAGGGCGGCGCAATGCTGAGTCGAGAACATCCGCTCTATTAGTTGCAGCAATGACAATAACAGAGTCCTTTGTGTCAAACCCATCCAATTCCTGTTTCAAAACAGAAACAACACCAAACCGAAGCCACAGACAGTCCAGTCCTCAGGGTCAGGGTATTAATGTAGAGATCCAGCTTTAGAGCAAAAATACAGACGACACCAGGAGCACAACTGCCTTCTGCTCCACTCATCAGTGGCATGTAAATATTCTCAGGATGAATCATCAGACAAAATTGCAATGGCAGGACCATTCGTTCACAGGCCTGATGCAAAGCACCTTAACAAGATGTGAGAGATATGGTACCTGGCTCCATCCCCATTCTGACTTGGTGACCAAAAGTTACCGTGGAATAGCTGAGCCCAGTCCAAGCAGTATGACCGAAACCCAAACACCTGGGATTACTGCTCTCAGTCGGCACGACTCTACAGAGGTGTGAGGTCCCCAGGTACTCAGTAGCTTCCATCGGCCCCAACGGCCAACCATATAGGCCAAAGCAAGCACGCCCAAACTTGCCAGCAGCCTGTTGGCCAATGCAACTGGACTTGGGCTGGAGATGCTGTGCACTCCAGGGGATTGCATTTCCTGTGCTTTCGGGAGTGATGACAATGTGTACGGAGGTGCATCCAGCTTAAGAAACAGCACAAACACGAGCAGAGCAGGACGGGGTGCAGATGTTCAATTGCACCACATGGCTGTGCAAGCAACGACTGAACTGCATGGTGCGGGGCGGGAAGGGTGAAGGGGAAGTTGAATAAGGAACAAAAGGGAGGAATCATTGGGAAAAAGAAATATATGATAGGAAGCGTGGCCTAGGAGAGATTATCAGCACCTTAGGTTGTAGGACAAAACAGATGGTGACAAGGACAAAGAAATGATGGGCACGGTTTCTCCCCCACATTCCACATCCTGTCTCTCCAACTTGAGAAGCCCCCAACCCCTACCATCTCCACCGACAAGCGACCAACTGGGGGGCATCCATGAGTAAACTGGGCAGGATTGACAGACAGCCAGGCATCGACAGCCAGCGGCGCAACGCTGCTTGCTCGACTTCCACAATGAGGCAGTGCTATACTAAAATAGTATGTCCTTAGCTAAGCCAAGAGGTGTGCCACATTGTGTGTCAAATTTAAGCCACCCGTACTTTTGACTCTTCCCTTACTGAGCCTGGAAACGCCCTGCGCGCCAAAAGAAAAGAAGTGGCGCAAACCTTCCTTTGGCTGGCACCACCAGCCATTTTCCCCCGGTAGGCCGACCCCCAAAACTTCTGCGTGCGTGCAACCGAGTCGGAGAGAATGGCCGGCAAATGTACTGGTGGTTGGAGACCAGGTCAACTGGTATTCAAAATAGACTGGTTAACAGCCCATGCGAGGATCAGGCTCCTCGGCAGGCCTTAGGGGCCCCAATGGCAAAAGTCTGCCCGCCCTAAGTGAAGGCCGGCCTGATAAAATCAAGAGGCCCACTGTTGTCAATTTCGCATTCGGGTTCTGGTAGTTGAGTCGCGTCAGTTGGTTGAAGGAACCCACGCCACAGCCAGCCACACTTTGTTTCGGCCTTCTAGGCCTTTCTTGGAAGCAGGCCCTGGGCCGCATTCACAGCAGTGTACACGACAGGCAGTTGGGAGTCATAACCAACCGGGGCCCAGGGCAGCAACAGCAGCAGCAAAGGCCCAGCCACCCGGGGCCTACCAGAAGCTTCTGGGCGCAGGCCCAGGCCAGACTCTTTCCATATAGGAAGGAGCTTGCTGCCTGGCCATTCATTCGGCCACTTGCTAGTTTGCGGCAGCGCTGCTGGGGCTGACGCTCGCGGGCTGCCGCTAGCGCTAGAGCAAGGTGCAAGCATGTGCGTTCGTGTAGGAGAAAGGGCGCTGCTGCGGGCAGCGCCATAGCCCAGCTTCCATAGCTGGCTGGGGCTTGGACCTACAGCAAGCGGTAGTGGTGGTCTTCGCGAATGAGGGGGGAGACGTGGGTGCAAGACAAGGGAGGGAGAGAGAGAGAGAGAGATGAGGATGATGACGTGAGGGCACATACCTGGTATTGCCGATAGTCTGCATTGGGCGACATCTTCATGTCCTTCGGTGGCTGCTGACGTCAACAGTTGCATTGTCAATTCGTAGGCAGATAGTAGCTGTGTGGAAGTAGTCTGGGCGCCAAGCACCAAGTAGGGGGAAAGGCCTGAACTCTTGTGTTGGTGATGACGAGAGTAGGCTCTCATTGACATTCGGTTTTCAGTGTTTCGATTCTCCATTGGTATAATATGGGTGCAATGCTGCTTTCTGGACACTGTGGGACTTTCTGGCTTTCAATTTGATGGTGCAATCTGGATTCTGTCATCGTGTTATTGCTCATTTTCCTTGCAATTTGGTATCGGAGCTGGTTCAAACTACACTTTCTGGTTCTTCGCAATAGCTGTTCGGTGCTTCGCATGTGGAAGTAGGGCAGTGATTATGCTTAGGCGTTGAACGACAGGCGGCCCAGGGTAGTGTGGGTGCGCCAGGAAGGCTATGAGATGTCATTGGGGTGTACGCTGGATCATGGGAACTCACTGACGTGGCATTTAAGACGAGGTGGAACTGCATTTCGCTGTTGGTTGTGCCAAGGCAAAGACCGGTCATCATAAATGCACATCAGGTTGGTGGTAAGAAAGCTGTGGTTGGAGGCAGCATTATGAGGTGTGTTGCTCTCATCCTTATCTACCCTCTTCATTACTTCTTACCGCGAGGAAGTGAGTTCTGTCTTGAGAGTCCTCTTGATGTGAGGTGTCGCAAGCGCTAAACTTGAGAGTCGACATTCTTCCTGGGCAGCAAGCTGGTGGGAGACGGGCGAAGGCTCTGAAGCATGGTAACCGTCCGTACGTCCGGACCGGGTTCCAGACAGTCCGGTGTCCGGTGTCCGGTCCTGATGTCTGGATGGAGGCCCCTGGGGAGAGAATCAAAAAAAAAAAGGAGGGCAGCCCAGGACGTTTATCGGGTCCTGGCCGCCCCTCGAAAAATGACGGGGTGATTTTTCAATGTCATTTCACCCCACCGGACAGGGCCTAGAGGTCCGGACACAAGACACTGCAGGTTTCTAGGGTGGCACAGGCCAGAGCAAGACACCGCCGCTGCTGCCTGTTGGAGAGAGAGAGAGAGA